AAAAAAAAAAAATGGGGAAACCCATGGATGGACAAGCAAAATCCATCCATCCATCCACCCATCTTGTCAGGCCTGAAACTGAAGGTGTAGCACCTTGTCCCCATTGTCCCTCTCCTCTTTAAACACTTTTTCCTAATGTTTTTTGTGAATATATAGAGTCGTAAATTAGAATGGGTGATCTAAAAAGAGCCAAATGGCATTTAAAAAGAAAATCATTTCCACAGGTTTTTTTTTTTTTTTTACACATTTTATAAAAGTCACATCAGTATGTGTCAGATTCATTTTCCCTTTAGCACAATTCTGCGGTTCTATGAGATGTTTTCTACCAGAAAGGAAGAGAGTGAGTCCAGTGTGAGAGAAGCCAGTAGGAGTTGGTGACATATGGAGATGACAGCCATTGATCAATGCCTGAATCTAATTGGCGGGGCCAAGCACTGGTTGTTCAGATTATTTCAATATGGAAACTGAACTACCCATTCTCTTTCAGGAATATAACATGTGCACTGATATTTTTGCCCCAAAATACTCGCCATGATCAAATGGATGAATCAGGAGAAAAATACAAGTAGCCCATTTTCAACTGATTATTATTTACTATGTAAATGTCAATCGATTATCCTGCCTATGTTAATTCCCCCCGTGTCCAGAGGTCCTATGTCCAGAACTCACTTACCTGAGACACTGATGTCAACATGGAGATAAAACAAAACTACTATCATGAAGCCCCCACACCTTGTCCTACAGAAAAGGCACCAAGAGACCCTTGGCCTCTCCACAAGTGGTGCTCAGACTAAAGCAGGCCTGGTATCAACTTAAATGCCAAGGTGAGGAGGCTGGACACCAGGCAGGTGTTTCCTATCATAGCTCAACCTCCAAGGCAAAAGGGAAGCGAAACACTGAAAGCAGGGCAATTACAAAACCACCACCCGTCTGTCAGCATGACGTACTGTGGTGGCCCGTGCCACAGCTGCAAGCTATGCCACCAATGTTTCATATCCCAGCAGGTGGACAGGTTACAGCGGAGCTTCCAGATGAAGACAGACTAGGAAGCAAGGCGTGGGGATCTGCTGCCGAGAGCGAGCCGACGAAAACCCAGGGTCACCGCAGAGCTCAGCCGGCACAGCGCTGCGAGGCGAGCCCCTGGGCCAGAGGTCACTGAGAACAC